CTGGAACTCAGGAGATGGAGGTTGCAGTGAGCTGAGATTGTGCCACTGCACTCCAGCCTAGGTGACAGAATGAGACTCCGTCTAAAAAAAGAAAAAGTTTTTCACACATGATGTTGAAAATGATCATAGGAAAAAGTTCCACACAGACTTGAAAAAACAGGAAATGTTAAGTTAGAATTGTTACAGGTTGGATTATTATACAGGCATGAACTGTTTAAAAGAGTGTTCATATGCAGGGCATGGTGGCACACATCTGTAGTCCCTGCTACTTGGGAAGCTGAGACAGGAGAATCCTTTGAGCACAGGAGTTCAAATGCAGCCTGGGCAACATAGCAAGACCCTCATTTCTTTAAAAAAAACAAAAGTTTTAGTGACACAGGAAAATATGCCTATGACAGTGAAAAAAGGACACCAAATGAAAACCTCAGGGGGAGGTTAACTATGTTTAAATGAAGCACACGGGGAAAGTGATGTAAGGAAAATTCACCAAAGCGGGCCCCACCCTTGGGCGCTGGGATTTGTAGGTGATTTCTTCTTTACTTTGCTTCTGCTTTGTGATTTGGGTGCTGTATTAAATTTGTTTAATCAGCATGCACTACAATCAGAAACAGAGAAAAAATTAGCAAGATTTTACAGAAGCCATAAGGCTTCCAGGAACTGTTGTCATTTAGTGCTTGGGGGACAGACCCCAGTGCCACTGGAGACAGGGACTGCCCTCCCCATTGGCCCTTCCAGTGTGAGAGACCAAGTCATGGCTACCGTCAGAGCCAGGTTTCTAGCCGTTTTAGGAAAAGTATAGCTGAAGGCATAGGGTATTGTTGTGGTAACAACAGATCTCACTTCTGAGTGCCACCCACGTGCCAGGCTCTGCATGGGTGGTGTGTGCTGAGGCAGGAAGGAGCCACTCAGGGCATGTGGAGCCATCTCTCACCATGGCTCTCCCTCCGGGCAGGATTACACCAGCGGAGCCATGCTCACCGGTGAGCTCAAGAAGACACTCATAGAGGTTCTCCAGCCCTTGATTGCAGAGCACCAGGCCCGGCGCAAGGAGGTCACAGACGAGATCGTGAAAGAGTTCATGACTCCCCGGAAGCTGTCCTTCGACTTTCAGTAGCACTCGTTTTACATATGCTTATGCAGAGAAGTGATTTCTCAATAATCCCAGCCCGGTCAAAGCACCGCCACCCCCAGGTCTCTGTCTCATGGTAATTACTGGGCCTGGTCTCTGTAAGCCTGTATGTTATCAACACTGTTTCTTTCTGTGAGTTCCATTATTTCTGTCTTGTATGGTCAAAGCATTGTGGGTAATTGGTGCAGGCTACCATTGCAGGGTCGGACAGAGAAGTCCAGCTGAGTCTCTCCCCAGAGCAGCCCCAAGGAGGGGAGCCTTCGGCTAGAAGTCCATGGGTCACCCTGTTCCAGTCTGTGGGGGACTCCGAGGCTTCCAAGTATACTCTTAAAACCCCCTCTATTTAAAAATATATATTCTGTGTATGCCTATATGGAATTGAAATGTCATTATTGTAACCTAAAAGGTGCTTTGAAATTTTGATGTAGGGAGGTTTATTTAGCACAAGATGTATTTCAGCCCATGCCCCCAACAAAAGAAATTGATAAGAAAAAGCTTTGCTATACATTTGACTAAGAAATCACCCAGCTTTAAAGCTGCTTTTAACAATGAAGACTGAAGAGTTGGGCAGTTTTGATTAAACTGAGACTCGGGGTGAAACTTGCCAGTTTACTGAGCTCCAGACCATGCATGTATTCCACTCCAGCAATCATGCTCGCTTTCTTTGGCAGACCAGTGCTCTCCTGCCAGATGACCCTAGACTGGCTGTCCTGCAGAGTCAGGGTGGCTTTTCCCCTGACCGTGTCCAATGCCGAGGACTCCTAGCCTCTGCAGATGCTTCATTTTGACCTTTGACTGCCGTGGAAGTCAGCACAGAGCAGTGCCCTGGCCGTGTCCCTGGATGGGTGGACGTAGCTAGGGAGAAAGTCACGGCAGCAACCCTCGAGGCCCTCACGGGTGTCTGGGCAGGCCACATTTCATCATGCGCCGTGTGCAGGCCTGGAAGAGCCAAGGCGAATCTCAGGGAAGCCCTTGGTTGATGTGTCTGGGTCTCCGCTGGAACACTCTGCCCTCCTGTCGCCTGCTAGAGTGAATAAACTTCCTTGGCTCCCACTCTTGCTGTGCTCTGTCTGGGAGGTCTGGGGAGGGAGCAGAGGCCCCTTCCCTTACCCCTCCATGGATGGCTTTGAGTCTGCTGGAGTCAATATTTGGGGATGAAAGCGCTCAGTCCCGGGAACCCCACAGTGCTGTGTCACAGGCTCCCAGGAATGGGCTTATGCTGGGAGAGTTCTTAGCAGCCTCCCAGTGCAGGCTCCCTCTCAACTGCATTTCACCTTTCTGGCAGCTGGTGGAGAACACAAACAGAGGTGGTTCTCGCTTTTCAGAGGAGGGGCCGTTGTGGGCTGCTTGGTGGTGCCGTGGAGTGACAGGGACCACAGGCTAGGAGCCAGGCCGGGCCCTGTTTACATGACGCCCACGGCAGAGGTCGAGCTGCAAGGAAGCCCTGGGCTCATTCTACTGGCCCGTCTTCATTTTGCAAGTGGGGAAACAGGCTTAGGAAAAAAGAACATGACTTGTCCAAGCCCATAGGGTGACTCTGACACAGCGTGTCTGTCCTGACTCTTGGTGCCTCTGTCCCCACACACATACAGAGGGGCCATTTTACAAATGAGGGAACTAAGGTTCCCCCGCTGGGAGGCTGGAGGCCTGGGTTTGAGTCCCACTCAGGTACCCGTGTGCAGCATGACCTCACCTAGGCCTTTTCTCCTGGCTCCGACTCCTGGGCTGGGCCCCCGTCCTTCCTCCCAGGCCCAGCCCCTGCTCACCTACCTGGCTGGCTATGGCCAGTGAGGGTGAGCCACCCACGGAGGCTACGTAGCTCAGTAGCCTGTTGCCCTAGGCAACTAATATGACTTCTTGTAGCTCTGCCGCACCTTTGATGCAGGTGCAATGAGAGGTGACAAAGTCAATGACAACTGCTGCTGTCATTGTTCACCTAACCAGAGCGTCTATGGGCAGGGCCTGGGTGGGGCCCTGGACCCAGATAGGAGTGAGCCAACACAGACGGGCTTCTCCCCTCACCAGCTGTGTGTGACTTCTGCTCAGGTGACTTAACGACCCAGGACCTCCATCTCCTCTTCTGTAAAAAGCAGTGATGCCTCCTGTTTAGGGTCTTAGGAGGGGTCCCCTGGGTCCAATACTCAGTGCCCAAGGTCACTGCTGGTCAGGGCACAGGAGAGCCGCACATCTCCCACACCTCCCCCATTTTGCTAAAAACTAGTGGTTTGTAAGAGAAATGTTTGTTGAAGGACATGGGTGCGTCTGGATCACAATGGGCAGGTTGCAGTGGCCCCGTGAGGCGTGAGGCCGGGTGCCAGCAACACATGGTGCCATACGCTCTGCCAGAGGAGCACTCCTGCTGCAGCTGGTAATGTCTGCTTGTCAGCTATGCCGGCCCAGCTCAGCCTCGCTGCCCTGTGGCCCCAAGCCTGGAGGGGAGACCAGCGGAGGCTGCCTGAAAGGAGATGGTACCTGAAGAGCACACAAAACGGCACTGGGTGGGGAAGCAGGGTCCAGGGCGGAGGGTGGCTGGGCACACGTGGCAGCTGTGGAACAGCTCACTGCTCTAGGACAGCGCTCTCGGTGAGCAAGAGGCCTGCCTCTGGTCCCCAGCGCCCGCCTGCAGCACCCACAGATGTGCCCTCCCCAGGGTCACACTGGCTGGGCCTTAAGGCCCAGGACTCTCTGGTCATTACCATAGAGGTCGTAGAGACAATGAGGACAGGGGCCCTTCCTGCAAACTCCCTCCCCAGTGACAGGCAGAGCCAGTTGCTCAGTGACACAGGCTCAGGGAGAGCCAAAGGCCCCCACCTCCCAGAGTGCAGCCATCGCCAGAGCCGGGCCAGGAGTGCTGCCAAGAACCCTCCTGCCAAGGCTGACCAGGTGGGGTCTTCTACAAAAATGGCTTCGAGGTCAGTGTTGGATGAACAGTGGAAACCTGTTAGCGGCCGCCCTTTCCCAGCATTTGGCCAGAGCATCTCAGCCTCTGTAACTCCTCAGCTGGACACACTTCCAGGAATCTACCACAGGACTCATTCATTCACTCATTCATTCGCTCACTCACTCATTTGTCCCACTGAGCACCCACTGTGCCCCAGCCCTGGAGCTCAATGGAGTCCTTGCACAGCTCGCAAGTTCTTGTAGAGGGGGAGAGGCAGGCGAATGACCACACACCCAACCAGGGCCCCCAGGGAGTAGAACAGGAGATGCCTGGGAGCAGTGCAGTGGTCAGTCAAGGTCAGTGTCCATGAGTGAAGATAGCCATGCAGGTGGCCTCTGGCCCTGCCAGCCCTAATCCCTGATAGCCCCCATTATTGGAAGCCACATGGTGCCAGGAGTGGGGTGCTGGAGCCTCAGAAGCTCAAGTCCTCCCACCCTCACTGATGCGTGAGTGCAGGCAAGGCTCACTCCCTCTCGGAGCTGTCTGCTTGGCTGGCATCTGTAAGTGAGCTGGGCAAGGTGCCCGATGCCCTCCTATGGACAGCCCCTCTGGAGGGGCGGCTCACAGGCAGGGCAGGTGGAGGGCCTGGCTGGAACAGGTTCCACTCTGAAAGCAGGTAGAATTGCACTGGGGTGGTGAGGAGAGCAAGTGCCCTACTGGACAGCCCGGTGAGGCAGGACTCAGTGCCATAGGTCAGGCCTCACCATCCAGAAGGCCGAGAGGGTGGAGCCCGCCGGAGTGCCACACCGGGTCTCGGTATGCCCATCAGTACAGTGGGAGCACTGGCAGCTCGGGTGTGGAGGGCTCATCCAACAGGAAGGGAGTGGGCAGGGCCACGGCCCCACACCTCCCAGGACAGGCAGGCAGGCCTCACTGTGCAAAGCTGCTGGGCGCAGGGAACGGTCAGCCATGGCCACAGAGCCACAGCCCTGAACATCCTCAGAAACATTTTATTGACAAGTTCCCAACAGTCTTCGGGGTCCTTAAGTGGCAGGTGCAGCATCCACAGGCAGAGTGAGGGCTCCTGAGGAACCTCACCCCAAATTCCCTAACCAGGCGAGCATGGCCTCCCCAGGCCCCTGCCAGGTGGGCATGGCAGCCCCAGCAGTGCCCTCCTGGAGTAGCCTGCTGCGGGGAACGAGCTGGGCCTGCAGCCCTCAGTCATGATGCCAGCCCAGCTCCTGCTCCGCACCCTGAGGCCCCCAGCCTGTGGGGAGCCCCTGCCTGCAAGGGATGGTTCGTGAAGACACTGGAACAGCAGTGGGGGCAAGGGTCTGGGAACAGGGCAGAGGGTGGCTGAGCACACACCTGACTCCCTGGAGGGGGGCTCCAAAGATATGGGAGACAGGGCAATGGGGAAGCTGGAATGAACAACTGACTCCATGAGACACACCCTCATCAAAGGGACCCACTCCTCCCTGGCTCCTGCCACCGCAGGCCAACCCTGGGCTGATGGCCGGGGGCGCCCCTCGACCTGAGGTCAGTAGCTGGGCAGGCCAAGCTCAGGCCTCGGCCAATGCACTACAGGGAGGCTCCCCGTTGTCCCGGGCAATGGCCTTGTGGGGTCCTGACTTCAGCCAGGCACCCTCTTGCCTCCTCCAGCCACTAATGACCTCCGGCAGCTGCCAGCGGGTGGGCCTCTGGGTGTGGGGACCAGCTATGTGAGCAGACCCCGAGTGAGCCTCAGCACCGCTTCATAGGCGACAAAGACCACCATGTTGACAGGGAAGGCACGGCCGCAGTTGATCAGCAGCCCCTTAAAGAGGACCCGGGGCCCCTCCTCGCGCACGCTGGTCACCAAGCAGTGCAGGAGGCCGCGGTAGCGCTGCTGGCCCTGCCCGTCGGCCTGCAGTCTCGACTTGATGACATCCATGGGGGTGGCCACAGCCCAGGCCAGGACCCCCGCACAGCCCCCGGCCACCAGCACACCCAGGACATCTGCAGAGGGACCACAGTGCCTTGACTGGGAGCCTGATGGGGCGCCCAGGGCAGAGGCCTGAACTCCCTCTACTGGCCCATCCTCATTTGCAAGTGGCTTAGGAGAGGAGAACGGGACTTGTCCCCAGCCACACACTGTGACACAGCGAGTCTGTCCTGACTCTTGGTGTTGGGGGGAACTGAGGAGCCCACCCTGGGAGGCAGCAGGCTGGGTTCAAGCCCCCACTCGGGTACTGGTGGACACCACGACCTCAGCTTGGCCTCCTCATCCCGCCGGGCTCCCCGCCCTGCCAGGTCCCAGCCCCTGCTCACCTGGATGGCTGTGGCCAGCGGGGCTGAGGCACTCGCAGAGGACGGCGTAGGAGAGGAAGTAGGTGGCAAAGGAGTGGCCGTCCCGCAAGAGCAGGGCCGAGCTGCCCTTGTAGAGGCCACGCAGCCCCTCCTCACGGGCCACGGTGGCCAGGCAGTGCAGCGGCCCATGGTACTTGGGCTCTGGGCAGGCAGGGGGCGCAGGACACACAGGGGACACAGCTGAGGGCCCCGAGGCCGAGAGCCGCCGCTGTTGCATCTGTGTCTGTGTCTGTGTCCGTGTCTGTGTCCGTGTCCGTGTCTGTGTCTGCGTCTGCAGGCGGATTTTGGCCACCTCAGTGGGCGATGTCAAGAACACCTGGAGCGGAGGAGGCCGGGGTCAGACGGCACCTGCAGGGAGGTGGCTCTGCCCGCAGCCTGGACCCGACCTCCCACTGGCCTCATGTTGCCCACAGCAACCTCAGGAGCTGGGGCCCCGAGACCCTGCAGGCTGGCCCAAGGCTGGGGAGCCACAGGGTCCAAAGCCAGCTCTGCCCACCCAAGGCCAAAGCCCATGCTTCATTCAGCAACCACATCTCTCCTCACAGGCCAGCCTGCCCGGCTTCTCCCAGGAGGTGGTAAGAAAATGTCCGTGACCCAGTTTCAAGAACATAGTTAATGGCCGGGCACAGTGGCTCACTCCTGTAATCCCAGCACTTTAGGAGGCCGAGGCAGCAAATCACCAGGTCAGGAGTTCGAGACCAGCCTGACCAACATGGTGAAACGCTGTCTCTACTAAAAATTACCCAGGCGTGGTGGTAGGCACCTGTTGTCCCAGCTATTCAGGAGGCTGAGGCAGGAGAATTGCTTAAACCTGGGAGGCGGAGGTTGCAGTGAGCTGAGAAGGCACCACCACACTCCAGCCTAGTGACAGAGCAAGACTCCATCTCAAAAAAAAAAAGAAAAAAAAGAACATATTTAATAACATATCAGCAATAAAATAAAATATTGGCTGGGCACAGCAGCTCACTCCTGTAATGCCAGCACTTTGGGAGGTGGAAGCAGGCAAATCACAAGGTCAGGAGTTCGAGACCAGACTGGCCAATATGATGAAACCACATCTCCCCTAAAAATACAAATATTAACCAGGTATAGTGGCATGCACCTGTAGTCCCAGCTACTCAGGAGGCTGAGGCAGGTGAATCACTTGAACCGAAGAGGTGGAGGTTTCCATGAGCTGAGATCACGTCACTGCCGCTGCACTACAGCCTGGGTGACGTAGCGAGACTCTGTCTCAATAAAAACAATAATGGTCACTGAACATACTGGCTGCCACTGTGGGAACTCATTCATGGGAACTCCACATACGTGTGCTGGGGGCTTTGCCCTCATAATCTCACTGAATTCTCATCATGCCTCTTACAGATGAAGAGACAGAAGCTCCGAGAGTCTCCCTTGCTTGCCCGAGGTTGCTCAGCTCACAAGAGTCAGAGCTGAGAGCTGGGCCTGGTGGTCTGGAGCCCTGGGCCAGGCCTTCAGCCGCTGGGCTGTTCCAGCTGGCTCCGTGCCATCACCACGTGTGGAATTCTGTCTCCCCCACTAGAGTGAGGGCTCCCTGAGGGCAGGCGGGCACTGCAGATGCTCCATGCACAGTTGGGGGTGGAGGAATGCCTGAGTCCAGCAACAGTCAATTGTGTTCAGGCATCTCTGTGCCTAGAGCCATGAGCGAGTCCCTTTGGTCACAGCCCCCTTCCCCAGGGGGCCATGCTGGGCAGGACAGCAGCGACCCCTCATCTGTGTGCAGCCTGGTTGGGATGCCAGCTCCTCTCCCACAGCCCCGGGCTCCATGTGTGGCCTCCAGTGTCTGCCCTCATCGAGCCTCTGTTTCCCCACCTGCCAGGGTGGATAACCTCTCAGACCCCCAGAGTCTCCCTTGGGCTTTCCCACCCTGGCTGCCCCTACTCACGCGGACGAGGCCAGAGGCACATCCTGAGAGCGTGATGTCGGCCTTGGCGGGCTTGGCGTCGGGGCTGCCGTACCGGAGCCGGCAGATGTGTGCCAGGCAGTGGCGGTAGGTGCCAAAAGACACAGAGGAGACCAGGGACACTGTGCACACGGGCAGCGAGAGGCCCCGATAGAAGCCCCACACCTAGCAGACAGGGTCAGGGTCAGGCCAGGGCCCAGCCAGGAGGAGGAGCCACCTGAGGGAACCCATACTCAGCCCTGCTCTGCCATTCGCTTTAGGACACTGGGAAGGTCATTCATGGCCTCAGGGCCTCAGTTTCTTCTGCTGTAAGATGGAGGTCACAAGGGGGGACCAGAAGAACCAGAGGACCAGGCCCAACCCAGGGCCGCTGCTTGGTGGCGACTAACTTTTATTTTTATGGAGACAGTCTTGCTCTGTCGCCCAGGCTGGAGTGCAGTGGTGCGATCTCAGCTCACCGCAACCTCTGCTTCCTGGGTTCAAGCAATTCTCCTGCCTCAGCCTCCCAAGCAGCTGTGGTTACAGGTGCCTAGCCCCCACCAACTAATTTTTATATTTTTCATAGAGACAGGGTTTCACCATGTTGGCAAGTCTGGTCTCGAACTCCTGACTACAGGTGATCCTCCCACCTCAGCCTCCCAAAGTGCTGGGATTACAGGCATGAGCCACTGCGCCTGGATGACAATGAACTATTAACAGCATGCTCTGCCACGGCTGCTTTCATGAGCCTGCACCTGGCCTGCACCGTGCCCCAAGTCCATTTCAGAGAACGTTCCCAAGTCCTGCCTCTGGACGGGCCTCTGAGCCAGACCCTGAAGCCTCCACCCAACACTGCCTTCAAGGGGTGCCTGGCCTGGAGAAGACAGAAATGCAGTGATGGGTCCCTCCTCTGACCTTCAAAGGCCTGAATGCTACCTCTAGACCCTCTACTGGAGGTGGGAACCTCCTTCTGAGGCCCGTCTAACTGCCAGATACCCCAGCTCCAGTCCTCGGAGGAACCCGTGAGATTGGCAGAACTATTCCCATGAGGAAGGTGAGAGAGCTAAGACCCGGAGGGGAGCCTGGCATCAACTGCTGGGCAGTGGAGGCAGGCCCAGCGTCCATCCCCTCCCTGCTCCCTGCCTCCCCCGGCCCAGACCTACGCGCTCTTGGCGATACGTATCCCGGATACAGTGCCAGATGCCTGTGTACTTTGGCTCCGTCTGGATCCTGACCTGCAGGAGAAGTGGGCTTCAGGCAGGGGTGGTTCCAGGCCTAGGGCAAGGTCAGCAGGTCCTGGGGAAGGGGAAGAACCACCCTCTTGATTGTCCTAGCCACGCTGGGCTGTGGGCACAGCAGGGACAGAGAGCCTTGTATTGGATGAGGAACCTGAGGCTCAGGGGTGAGAAAGTGGGACTGACATAGTCCCAGGGGTTATGGGGAGCCATTGAAGGTGTTAGAGCAGCAGAGGGCTGGGTCTGTTTAGCATTCTAGAAAGTCTTCTGGCCATGGACGAGTGCAGGGGCCTTGGGATGGCCGCGGGGCTGGCTCCTGCCGCACCTTCACGGTGTCCAGGGGGTAGCCCACAGCAACACCACAGATGCCTGGAAGGAAAGGAGAGACCCACTGTGAGGTGAGTGGAGCTGGTGAGCAGTTCGAGCCCATTGCAGGGAAGAAGAAGCAGGGTCCATGCTGACTGGGCTCCCCTGAGAGCCAACCCACGTTCGGCCCTTCTGGTCCATACCAGGTCGCATCAATCCTGAGGGGATCCCCGTTTTACAGATGAGAAAACTGAGCATCCAAGTCACTGCTGCCCTTTGCCAGCAAATTCCCCTTCCCTGAGTCCAGGCCCGGGATTGCCTCATCCTCACTGCCTTGGGCCAGAGACACGCCCGGGCCTCCCCACAGGCATCATGTTCTGGGAGAACTGGGCCATGTCTCTGAGCCAGGCAGACCTTGCCCTCGAGCCGTCAGTCCGTGGAGGGTCTGCCTGTGAGCCAGGTGGTAACTGTTTCCGCTGCGTGGGTGGAAGGAGGGGGAGGCACAGCCTGGGCAAAGGCCTGGCGGAGGGAAGCCCAAGCCCACACTGGGGCTTTGCCAAGAGTCAGGACTGCCTGGAACCACAGGTGTCTGTGGGACAGAGAGGGCCGGGACTCCACACTTTTCAGAGAGGCCTCAGGTGCCAGGCCTCAATCTCCGAGCCCCAGCACTGCACCGGGAAGTCAGGGGGGGAAACAGGCATGTCCCGGGGGAACCATTCTCTCCCCTGAGGGGCAGTGGTAAAGGCCAGTGGAAGACAATAGGCATGTGGGGACTGTGACCAAGTGGCTTGGACAGAATGATCCTTTTTATTTTTTGAGGTGGAATCTTGCTCTTGTTGCCCAGGCTGGAGTACAGTATTGTGATCTCGGCTCACTGCAACATCCACCTCCCAGATTCAAGCAATTCTCCTGCCTCAGCCTCAGCCTCAGCCTCAGCCTCCCGAGTAGCTGGGACTACAGGCGCACACCACCATACCAGGCTAATTTTTGTATTTTTAGTAGAGACAGGGTTTTACTGTGTTAGCCAGGATGGTCTCGATCTCTTGACCTCATGATCCGCCTGCCTTGGCCTCCCAAAGTGCGGGGATTACAGGTGTGAGCCACCGCGCCCGGCCGAGAATGGCCCTTCTCTACCCTCCCGTACACCCCATACACCTCACCCGACTCGTTCTCATCCGTCAAAGCCCTGCCACAACATCACCTCCTCTGTGGAGCCTGCTCTGGCCTCTGTACTCTGGCCTGCCTCTGTGTGCCTGGAACATGGCGAGCAGAGCCCTTGTCACATGGCCTGGCTGCTGTTCTGTGCCAAGGCCACCTCCAGAACAAGAGTTCTCTAAGGACATGGCCCAGGGCCGACACCCATGACCCAGGGCCACATATAGAGCAGGAGCCCTTCACACAGGCCTCCCCGTGGCTCCCGAGGAAAGATGCCAGACTCAGGAGCACTGTCCAGTTGTGTGACCTCAGGCAAGTCCAGGCACTTCCCTGAGGAAAGGAGTGGCTGACCCCAGGCTGTCACCTAGCAGGGGCTCAAGCAGGGCTAATGAGGCCTGGTGCAGTGGCTCACGCCTGTAATCCCAGCACTTTGGGAGGCTGAGGTGGGCAGATCACTTGAGGTCAGCAGTTCAAGACAGACTGACCAACATGGTGAAACCCTGCCTCTACTAAAAACACAAAAATTAGCCAGACATGGTGGCACACACCTATAGTCCCAGCTACTCGGGAGGCTGAGGCAGGAGAATCACTTTAACCCAGGAAGAGGAGGTGTAGTGAGCTGAGATCACACCACTACATTCCAGCCTGGGCGACAGAGCGAGAATCCATCTCGGAAAAAAAAAAAAAAGAAAGCAGGGCCCTGCCTTCTCCCAGGCCCAGAGATGGGCTGCTCTCCCGGCCCCCATGCTGTTCCCAGAAGTACTGATGCCACCCATTGCTGTTTCACAAGACCAGCAAGGCCAGGGGTGCCCCCTCAAAACAGCCCCCCCAGCCCTCGGGTGGAGCTGAGCCTGGGTCCCAGGGCCGGGCTGTCTCAGGCCCCCTTCCCAGGGAGGGAGAACAGTTTCCCCAGCAGAGTTTGGCCTGAGAAGCAGGTTCTGGAGGCCCAGCCAGGCGCATGCAGCCCGCAGGGCAGGTGGAGCCGGCTCGCCAGGCCTCTTGCCATCCTCTGCCCACCCCTTCCAGTCCCTGCTGGAGGCCCCAGGCCCCATCCTCCCTCCCCACCTCCCTGCCCTCTCTATCCTCTCCTGGGGTCTTTCTTCCCTTCCAGTGACTCAGTCGCCCCTCCCCACACCAAGGACTCCCAGCCTCCCTGACTCTGCTTCCTGCGCAGCCCCCATGCCTGGACCACAGCCCCATCCCCAGCCTGCCCTCAGCCTCCCATCTGAGCCTCCCAGGCCAGTGCAGCCCCCAGGCCCTGCAGCACCCCTCACCCAGCCTCAGTCTCCCAGGAACCTGCTCTCTGCTCATGGTACCCATGGCCCACACCAGGTCCTGGCAGACCCTGGGGGCAGGGGAGCTCCTCAAAGCACCCCCCCTCCCCCCCCCCCCCCGCTGCCCAGCACCTTCCTGGGCCTCAGCTCCTCCTGCTACCCCGGGAACGGCAGCGCCCGCATGGCCCACCATCCTGTTACCTCCAATGGCTCCAGCGACAAAATCCATGAACGAAGTGTGGTGGGGAAGCCCGGGGTCTGCCTGCCTGAGAGGGCTCTGGTGCCACCGGAGTGGCCTCAACAGCTCCCAGCTGGCCCCTCTCAGACCTTAAATACCTGCGGTGGGGGAGGGGACCGGAAGCAGATCCTACTGAGGCCACGCGTCACACAGCTGGACTCCCTCTCCCTCTGCCCCAGGACCCTTGTCCCAGTGCCCTTGGGACCCAAGTGTTGGGCAAGTATAGGAGAGAGCACAGGAGGTGGCAGGCACCAGGGAGCAGGGTCACTGCCCCACCACATCCAAACACCTCCCCGGGAGGTCCAGAGATGGGGCTTTGACAGCTCCCACCCTCCAGGTCCAAGCTCGAGCCTTCACTGTGTCCCCTGGACTTCCCTGACTCCCCTGGATTTGCTCAGGACCCCCGCCCAGGAAACCTGCAAAGCTCCTTCACTTACTCACTCAACAAACACTTCCTTCCCTGAGGCTACGCCGAGGCAAATGAGAGCCAGTGCCTATCCTCAAGGTGCTCCAGTTGGCAGGGAGGGAGGGGATATGGGGGACGGGCCTGAACCCAGGAACAGCACCCACCATCTGCTCTCACCCTTCCCAGGGCTGGCCTGGGGCATGCCCCATGTGACCTGTGCTGCAGCCCTGTGAGATCCCCACAGGGGACACCAAGGCTCAGGGAGGCTGTGCAGGTGCCTCAGCCACACAGCTGCTGAGCAACAGAATCCAAGTGAGTGCCCTGCGGACTAGAACGGCAGCAGGATAGGGGAGGGGCAGGTGTTGACACATCAGGCCCTGGCAGCCCATCTGGGTGACCCTCAGGGCAGGTGGCAGGGCCAGGAGACTGCGTATCTAGCTGTTTTCCTGCCCTCTGATGGCTGGACCTGCAGACTGGCCTTGAGCAGGCTGAAAGCTCACAGAGAGACAGCCCCCTCCACCAGCCCAGTTGTTTGTAGGCGAGCAGGAGACACAGTATAAGCAGTGCCAGCTGCCATGGTAGGGGCAAAGGGCAGGAAGTGGTCCATCCAAGGCCAGTCCCGATGCTACTCCTGGTCTTCAAGGGGATGAAGCTTAGGTCTGGTTAGGAGTTGGCTATCTGTCTTTTACGCCCAGCTCTGCCACTCACGGCTGAGACCGTGGGCCAGCCCCTTGACCACTCTGTGCCTCACTTCTGCAACCATGAAATCAAGAAGGTACCTGCCTCCTATCTGTGACAGCTCAGGGCAAGGTCTGGGCATGTCCCTGTGGGAGCGGCCAACTAAATGCTAAGGCTGCATTAGCAGAAGCATAGAGTCTAGAAGGAAGGAGGTGAGCAGCCTGTTCTGGGCAGGGCGAATACAGCCGGGACTTGGGTTCGATTGCTGGTGCTGCACTGGAGAAGCCAGTACCTTGGGTGCTGAGGGAGCTTGAAACATGGCATCTAATGGAAAGAACAGGGACCATTCAGACCCATGTTTCCTGCAGAGCATCCGACACAGCAAGTGCCAGCCACCTACGGCACCTGAGCCAGAAGCCCAGGAGTTGCCCTCTCTCCACCCCACATCCAGAGTCCTCATTCCTGGGTGTCAGCCTCTTAAATTCACATTCAGATCCTTCACCACTGTTCGTCTGCATGGCCCCAGCTGAGACATCCCAACGACAGAAGCCCATCCCGCCCATGCCCTCCGTTCACCCCCTCCCTGCCAAGTTTTAGGCACCGGGACACATCAGTAAACACAACGGAAAAGCCCCTCGCCTGGTGGACCTTATGTTCAGGGAGGAGGACAGACAGCCAACAGACGAGTATGCCCAATGGCGACAAGTGCCAGGGAGAGAAACAATGGGGGGAGCGGGAGGCTTGCAGGGGGTGTCAGGGAGGTCCCAGAAGGTGACGTCTGAGACAAGCATGTTCTCTCGGTTATCGCAGCCAGTTTTACCTGCCCGTTGTCTCCTGAACAAACATGCCCTGACTTGACCCTCTTCCCCGAGGCAGAAATAGAAAACATGCCACCCCACCCTTTCGGCTGCTTTATGCAGGTCTAAACATTTCCCCCACTCATCTGTAGGCTTCGGGCAGGCAGGGTGCTGCTGGGTTTATCTCCACACCCTCTGCACCCAGCACAGGTGGGCACCCTGGGGAGGCCAGGTAAATAAGTATGTGAGAAAATGAGTCAGTGAACAGATGGAAGGATGGACAGATGGATAGACAGATGGATGGAGGGCTGGACGAATGGATGATGAGTGGATGGCTGGAGGGACAGAGCGATGGAGGCACGGACAGAAAGACAGACAGAAGACAGGATGGATGGGCTGGCAGGGGCCCCACGAGAAAGGGGTGAGACGGCATTGAAGAGCCAGGCACAGGCTGCCAGTCATCCACACTCTCAGCGCTCATACTGTGCTAGGCCCGAAAGAGGATGTCCCCCACCTGCCCCCATCACCCCACCCATCCTTTCCACTGAGCGCCCTCTCCTCCCTGAAGGTGTGCACCTGGAGGCACTCCTGGGTGTCCTCAGCTGCAGATAGCCAATGGTATAAGATGACTTTATTTATTCTTCTATTTTTTATTTTATTATTATTTTTTTAGATGGAGACTTGCTCTGTAGCCCAGCCTGGAGTACAGTGACGCGATCTTGGCTCACTGCAACCTCTGTCTGCTGGGTTTGAGGAATTCTCCTGCCCCAGCCTCCTGAGTAGCTGGAATTACAGGCACGCGCCACCCTGCCCAGCTAAATTTTTTTGTATTTTTAGTAGAGACGGGGTTTTACCATGTTGGCCAGGCCAGCCTGGCCTCAAACTCCTGACCTCAAGTGATCCACCCACCTCGGCTTCCCAAAGTGCTGGGATTACAGGCATGAGCCACTGCACCCACGGCATTAGATGACTTTAAACCATCATTATTCTTGTTAGGTGCAATAATGGCATCAAAGAATATAGCTCTATTTCTTAGAGATACAAGCAGAAGTACCTGGCAGTGAAATGGCACGATGTCTGAAATTTACCTTAACACCATCTGGCAAAAAAGAAAGGAAGAAAGGAGAAAGATCACGAGTATGTGCCCTTTGTTGTAGTCCACGATTAAAAGTAGCAGCCGGCTGTGGTGGTGCAGGCCTGTAGCCCCAGCTCCTCGGGAGTCTGAGCGGGGAGGATGACTTGAGCCCGGGAGTTCCAGTGCTCTGCGCTGATTGTCCGACACACTGCATTCAGCATCCACACAGGGACCTCCCAGAAGTGGGAGACCCCAGGTTGCTTAATAAGGATGAACTGGCCCAGGCTGGAAATGGAGGAGGTCAAAACCCCTGTGCCGATCGGCAGTGAGATCGTGCCCATGAATAGCCATCACACTCCAGCCTGGGCAACGTCATGAGTGAGCCCCCCATCTCAAAAAATTTTTCAAAGTAGTAAAAGGGCCAGGCACGGTGTCTCATGCTTGTAATCCCAGCACTTTGGGAGGCTGAGGTAGGCAGATCACCTGAGGTCAGGAGTTTGAGACCAGCCGGGCCAACTTGGTGAAACCCCGTCTCTACTAAAAATACAAAAATTATCCAGGCATAGTGGCAGGTGCCTGTAATCCCAGGTACTCAGGAGGCTGAGGCAGGAGAATCACTTGAACCCAGGAGGCAGAGATGAGATCATGCAGTGAGCTGCGATCATGCCATTGCACTCCAGCCTGGGTGAAGGAGTAAGACTCTGTCTCAAAAATAAAAATAAAAAACTAGTAAAAGGACAGTTAACCGGAATGGAGCTGCTTGTACCCTGCCCAGCCTCCTTAGTGGCCACATGGAAGCTAAACTGTAGCCTTGGGCAGCAGGTGCAGGGGGGATCCTGCCTGGTCCAGGGGAGGAGCCCTCAGCCTAGTGTGGGACTCTAGGCAGGTGGCCCGACCTCTCTGGGTCTTGATTTCGGGAGGCGGAGCCCGGAGGAGTCCATTGGAGCCAGCCGGCTACTCCTCGGACAGGCAGGGTGACTGCTAGGAGATCCAGGCTGCCTGCCTCCTCCACCAGCGCACGAGTCCACGGGATGCGGGACCCAGGCTGCCCTTCCGGGAAGGCTGCGTTGTCCCCTAGGGGGCGGCAGACGTTTCCCCAGCAACCAAGCCCGGTGGGCGCCGCAGAGGGTTTCGGGAGGAAGCCTGCTGAAATGCCTTTTTATTTTTATAACGAAAGGAATAACTACAAGTTATAATTATTTTTAATCCACACGGAAGTGATGGAGCCAGCACGGAAAGTGAAAGTCCCAGCACACAGCCCGAGGATCAGCCTGTGGCGATCTTGGCCAGCACTAACCTTTCCTTTCCTTTTTTTTCTCCCCCATTTCTTTTCTTTTTTCTTTTTCTTTTTTTTTTTTTTTCTTTTTCTTTTTTGAGACAGAGTCCAGCTCTGTTGCCAGGCTGGAGTGCAGTGGCACAATCTCGGCTCACTGCAACCTCCACCTCCCGGGTTCAAACAATTCTCCTACCTCAGCCTCCAAATAGCTGGGATCACAGGCACGGGCCTTCATGCCTGGCTAATTTTTTTTTTTTTTAGATGGAGTCCTGCTCTTGTCGCCCAGGGTGGAGTGCAGTGTGGAGATCTCAGCTCACTGTAACCTCTGCTTCCCAGGTTCAAGGGATTTCTCTGCCTCAGCCTCCCGAGTAGCTGGGACTACAGGCGCGCACCACCACACCCAGCTAATTTTTTGTATATTTAGTAGAGATGGGGTTTCACCATGTTGGCCAGGCTGGCCTCAAACTCCTGACCTCAAGTGATCTGCTCGCCTTGGCCTCCCAAAGTGCTGGGATTACAGGTGTGAGCCACTTCTCCCGGCCTAATACTTCCTTTTCTAACGTAGGTTTGTCATTTGCTTCCTCTCCCTGCCAAGGTGTCTTGGACGCTGTGCCACCTGGCATTAAGGGACCCACTGGGCTCTGTGCACATCCATGGTATCCCGTGCTGGAGGTTGGCACGGGCAGCCAGAGTCTGGAAGCCAGGCTGCCGGGCCTCCACTCAGCCACTGCTAGCTGTGTGACCCAGACGGAGCTCTTCACCTGCCTGCAGGTCAGCTTCCTCATCTGTAAAATGGAAATTCTGTCACTTAACACCACATAGCTGTTGGGAGGACGTGGGGTCAGCAGTTGCATAGTTTTGGAGGCGTACCTTGCAGGCAGTAGATGCCCCGTGGATACGACCTCTGAGGCTCAGCTCTGCTGTTGAAGTGCTGGGGTCTTATGTCCAGCTTATAGGAGAGCCCCCCAGTAAATACAATTTGGGGTCTTCTGTGTTTCACTGGGGCATATTTCCAGAGGGAGATTACTGACTTATTTATTTTTTGAGATGAGTTTCGCTCTTTTTGCCCACGCTAGGGTGCAATGGTGTAATCTCAGTTTACTGCAACCTCTGCCTCCTGGGTTCAACCAATTCTCCTGCCTCAGTCTCCTGAGTAGCTGGGATTACAGGCACCTGCCACCATGCCTGGCTAGGTTTTGTATTTTTAATAGAAATAGGGTTTCACCATGTTGGCCAGGCTGGTCTCAAACTCCTGACAGGTGATCTACACGCCTTGGCCTCCCAAAGTGCTGGGATTACAGGTGTGAGACATCCTGCCTGGCCTAAAGGGGAATTTATTAAGTCTTAACTTAATAACAGATTATTGTAACAGATTTTGCCATTTTGGTGGGATTTGGAGGGGTTAAGGAGGAAGAGTGAGAGTTCCAAAGAATGGATCCTGACTCATGGGCCCAGAGTGGACCCTGGGGGGCTGGCGTGGCTCCAGAGAAAATTAGCAGCCTAGCATTTCTAGAAATGGGGCTCCTTGGCCAGTCTGAGCAAAGTCAGCAGTCCCCAGATTCTCACCTGGCTCCCTCAGTGCCTGGGAGGAAGCCATTGACCCACCAGAGCCTCAATTTCTTCAACATGGGACAAGGGTCAGGCATGGTGGCTCCTGCCTATAATGCGGGAATTTTGGAAGGCTGATGCAGGAGGATCCCTTGGGCCCAGGAGTTTGAGTCCAGCCTGGGAAACATAGCAAGATCCCTGTTTCTATAAAAAAATATAAAAACTAGCCGGACATGGTAGTGCACGCCTATAGTCCCAGTTACTTAGAAGGCTGGGGTGTGTATTAGTCAGGGGTCTCTGGAGGGACAGAACGAATAGGATATATATATCCTAGAAACTCCTCTAGAGGAGTTTATTATATCTAATAAACTCAATAACAGATTATTGTTATTTAGTTTATGTTAAATAAACTTCTATATCCTATATATAGGAGCTAATAGCTAATTTATAATAGCTAATTTTGTATTTTTAGAAGAGACAGGGTTTCACCATGTTGGCCAAGCTGGTCTCAACTCCTGACCTCAGGTGACCCGCCTACCTCGGCCTCCTAAAGTGCTGGGATTACAGGTGTGAGCCTCCGCACCCGGCCTAAATGGGCGTTTATTAAGTATTAACTCACACGATCACAAGGTCCCACAACAGGCTATGCAAGCTGAGGAGCAAGAAGAGCTAATCCGAGTCCCAAAACTGAGCTCCTTAGAGTCTGAGGTTCCAGGGCAGGACGCCGCACAGCACGAGAGAAAGACGCAGGCTGGAGGCTAGGCCAGTCTTGCCTCCTCAGGTTTTTCTGCCTGCTCTATATTTGCTGGCAGCTGATTAGACGGAGCCCACTCAGACTGAGGGTGGGTCTGCGTCTCCCACCCACGGACTCAAACGTTAATGTCCTTTGGCAACACCCGAACAGACACACCCAGGATCAATATTTTGCATCCTTCAATCCGATCAAGTTGACCCTCAGTATTAACCATCACACAATGGGAGGATCCCCTCAGCCTAGGAGGTCAGGCTGCAGTGAGCCACAATCACACCACTGCACTCCAGCCTGGCGACAGTGAGACCTTTATCCCCAAAATAAGTAAAATGGGACAAGCCAGCTCTGTGCCCAGGACACCAGATCCTATATGCTCCAGGCTTGGCCCCTGTCTACTTGGGTGTATACGGTGCCCAGCTGGCTGCTGCAGACCACAAGACCCCAGGCAGTGGGTGGGTGCAGTCTCAACTACTATGGAAGCAAGTGGGTGTGTCTCTGGGGTGAGCTTGGTGTGTCAAGAAGGATGGGCCACCCCTCAGTCCTCCCAGACACACCGGCCTCCCTCTGACATCCTGAGAGGCTAGGGCCCTGGGCCTGGGGTCTCTGAGCCTGTGTGCCCCCTGGACAGACCTCCAAGCTACAAAGCCTATCACAGGGCATTCGTGCTGCCTCCCCTCCCTGGAAATGGGGTGCACAGGTGCCGCTGCCCCCCAGCTGTAGCTCCCATTCCTGTAGGAAGGGGCACTAGACGCTACCTTTCCCACTAAGCTCATCGCAGGGGTCAAACCCCACCCCCTGCCCACTGGCCCTGTTCGTGTTACAGGTGAGGACACCATGGCCCAGACAGAAGCAGCCAATGAGAGTTCGGGAAAAGGGCAGGCCCAGTGGCTCATGCCTGTCATCCAGCACTTTGGGAGGCTGAGGCAGGTGGATCACCTGACGTCAGGAGTTCGAGACCAGCCTGGCCAACACAGTGAAACCCTGTATCTACAAAAAATACAAAAATTAGCTGAGCATGGTCGCATGCACCTGTAATTCCAGCTACTCAGGAGGCTGAGACAGGAGAATTGCTTGAGCCCAGGAGACCGCCATTGCAGTGAGCTGAGATGATACCACTGCCTGGGAGACAGAGTAAGACTGAAAAAAAATGTTCAGGAAAAGACCTGGAATTTGAGGCCCAGCTCTGCCACACAGGACACTGTGGCCAATGGACTTAACACTTGTGCCTCAGTTTCCCTATCTGTGAACAGGGACAACAGTTAGCTGTGGCAGGGTTGACAAGGTATTAGTTATCAAAGGCAGAAGTGAAGTTGGAGAGCCGACCATGGCAGGTGAAACCAGGCCCTGCTGCTGGCATTCCTGAGCCCCCACCACACTCTGGCTCTGTCCCGTCAGAGTCCTCAGGCCCCCAAGCCCTTTGGAGGTCTGCTTCTTGCAGCACCTCCTGCTGGCCACATTTCTCCCACCTTTCCAGCCCTTTGTACCCTGAGCAGGAGGCATCCTTAGACCTGGAGTCCACCTGCTGCAAGGGCTGAGAAGGCCACTTGTCCTGGGCCTCAGGATTCTCATCCGGATTGGATGACCTCTGACCCCACCTGGCTGCAAGGCACAGGGAGGCTGGACTGAGGAGGGGAGGCCTCTCCAGAGCAGGGCCTGGGGCCTATCATATCAGCTCATGTTGGCAAAGGAAGCGATTGACTTCTGCCAGTTTCTCCTTCATTCATTCACTCCAGCATGCGCCTTCTCATGCCAGGCCACCGGTGGCCCCAGCCTGGCTGGAGAGTGTGTAATCTATTACTGCGTAACAAATTGCCCCAAAATGTAGCTGCTTTAAACATCAGACATTTATGATCTCATAACTCCAGAGGGTCCAGAAGCCAGGAATAGACTGGCGGGTGGCTCTGGACGAGGGGCTGTCACAAGGCTGCAGTCATCTGGAGACTAGGCTGAGTTGGGAGGACCCCTGCTGAGGCGACCCACTATCTGGCTGTGGGCTGGAGGTTTCAGCTCCTCACCACACAGCCAACCTCCCCAACATGGCAGTGAACATCCCCCAGCACACGTGATCCAAGAGAGCAGGGAGAGGCTGCAGTGCCTTTTAGGACCCAGTTTCAGAGGCAATGCACTGTCTTTCCCACCATTTTCTATTCACTGGAAGCAAATCACTAAGTCCAGCCCACACCTGCTGGGAGAGAAGTGAGGTTTCACCTCTTGAAACAGGGGGGCACTGAAGACTTGTGGACATATTTTTAAGCCACCCCAAAGAGCCAGAAATGGAAACAGATGACTGTGGCTGGCCCCTGCGAGGACCCCGGAAGCCAGTCTCAGTCTTGGCTGTTGTGGAGGTTTCAGGGAAGAGAAGACAGCTGAGCCCTCTGGAAAGGGGATGGAGAATGTCCTTGCAGGCAGCAGTAGGAGTGCATGCCTGATGGGCACACTGGCCTGGACATGCCTGGCAGGGAGTGACTGGAGTGAGGCTGGCAGGCCAGCAGGGCC